TTGAGTACGAAATTCCGGATTGCCTTGAGCAATGTTGAAATGTGTTTATGTTTAGTTTTCATTAATTCCAAATCATATGACTTGAATTTGGTTTGCATGCGTTCATAATATATACTGCGTTTCCACATTCCCGATTCTACATCTGAGCAGATAGCTAGGATCTCCTTACTTTCAGTACAAGTTGATGAATTGGTGAAATAAGCCACATGAGAATGACAGACATGATAGCATCCTGGTTTTATTTTCATCGCTCATTTCCCGTTGCTGAGTTACAACAGCTCCTGGATGTGGTGTATTTTCGCCAGCCAACAGCGCGTTTACACTGTCAACTAGACTGGCTTTGCCCTATAGAATTTTATAGGTCCTTAGGCATAGCTGTTTGCTTCCAAACTGAGGATATTATTCACCGAGAGCAGCTCTATACACATGATGATGAAAGCAAGTTTGGCGGTTTCAATAGAATGACTGATTGGATGAAAGATGGAGTCGTCCTGTCCGCTTGTTATACTTGTTGCAGATGAGTAATATAACCTGTTTCTATTAAGCCAAATTTGCGTTTTCCCAAAAGCTGTTCCGTGGCTTGTTTGTTTTTCTACTTTCTGTGGATCATTGGATACGCTAGCAATGTGGCTGGGCTTCTAGTTATGCTGCTGTATTGGTGGATTTTCAGGGTAGAATTTCAAGGAGATAAAACCTTGATGACTTTTGTCACTGTTCTATTTAGCTATTTTACTCAGCACTCATTCGTTATTCCACGGTTGATCTGCATATAATGTCTGTGTGTATGGTGCTCGGATTGACTTGTGCTCATCAGAATAGTTGTTGGTGCACTGTTCTTGTAGTACCGAGAGTCCGAACGATTCATAAAGTGCCCTGAACTACTTATCTAATGATGTATCAGCACAGCTTTAACAGGACAGTCATTCGCTCATTGGTGCAGCGCAGTGTGCTGCTTATGAATGATGTGAGTAGCATCTAAATTGGTATCTAAGTTCCGCCTTCGTATTTGATGGAAGTTGAATGTGATCAGAGAAATTGTGGGTTTGCTGTGCATCAACTGGTCTGTATTTCGGATTTCAGTTTCAAGTTGCCTTGTACTTTGTTTATTTGGGGTTCCACCAATTGCGAATACCATTGTAAACCATGAGAACTCCTTCGATGATTTGTACGTATTCAGAAGTTTGTGTTCTTGAGGACCTCAATTCAACAATTGAACATTTCTCAGTGCTTGAGTTGGTGATCCGGCTTGATTTCAACTGACAAGACTGCGGTGTTTCGCCTCGCACGTGGTTTGAAAGTGATTATTGTTAGCTCTTTTTATTTGATTGGCTGCTTTACATTTCCAAAGTCACGCAGTTGCATTACCAGGTTGTTTCGCCTGATAAACAGAACCGTTATGTCAATAAATCTTCAGCTGGGTTATATTGCAGCCGACAGGTCATTGACGATTTCGAATTGGCTGCTGAAATCCCAGCAGTCATCTAATAGAGATTGAAGAGTGAAATCAGATGTAGGCATTTTTAACAAAACAGCTTCATGGACGAAATCGATATATCGTTCTGCCGCCTTAAGTACGTATGCTCGAAGTTACCTAACTCACTCACACATTTAACATTACAAACGGGGAACGGAATACGTTGAGTTATAACCGCCGAATGCGATGGAAAAAACGCAAGGCGGCCCAGTATTTTTCAACTATTTAGCGCCTCTTTTGCAAAACGGAAGACCGAAAGACCAAGTCAGTTTAAACATTTATGGTGTTGGCGGTTCTTGCAACAAATACCACACCTTCCTCGCGGATCCGTTGACTGAGACCGACGAAAAGTTTACTGGCGCTGTTTGATGTGCCCGGTATGCAGCGGTGCTTCGCATCTAATGCAAATTCTCCGAGTGAATTGAATAAGTATGTCTCACACTGACAGGTGAAACATTGGCCGTCATTCATAGCGATCTAATGAGGAGGTCCACTTCACGCAATACATTTATATTAATGTTGTGCTGGTGCGTCAAGATCTCTGTAGTGGGCAGATATGTTGCCCTTTCCTCATTGACCACCAATGAGTACTTCATTCTCGATCCAATATTTCCCGCGAAGTATGACTAGTCAAACGCAACTATAAAGCAGAAAACTCAGCAGGTTTTTTATATTCATCCATGACTTTGAGTAACGTTTTTCGTTTAATTTCAGTAGGACAGTCATGCAGAGTAATGGCCTCTCCGGGAAACATGATGAAACACGGCAAATAGTGATTCAAAAAGTAACGGCCCAGCCATCCTTACGGTGTAGCCAGATGTTTTTAAATGCTGTTCAGAAAGTGGAACTGAAAGGATTATTATTTTTTTGATTCCTCTAGATGTTTGCGTTAATGCTTATATATTGAAATTGCAACATACCCCCCAATACCATTGTTTGAGCCACAATAACACATCACACAATGACCCACTTTGCAATCTGGTCCGAAAAATGGCAACAGGTGTATGGAAAGTACACCCAGTTACTTTCTAAATAAACATGCCAGCTACCCAAAGCTGAACAAATCCAAGAGTGACTTAATCTCGGTGGCAAAGCACTAAATGACGTCGGAACAAATCCAAAGTGACTTAATCTCGGTGGCAAAGCACTCAATGACGTCGGATGCCCACCAATGAAAATGGCCATGGAGAATCATGCTCAGGTTTGTTTTGAAACTCAGTGGAGTCATGCTGCGGGTCCAGACTCAAGCGACTGATACCCTGATGCCTGCAAACGGCTATCTGTTTTCGTTTGGCGTTCTAATGACTAGAAATAGCACAAGTGAGCGCAAATGATACGCGTGTAACGGTGATACTACTGATCGGAGGGCACGCAAATAGTATGTGTTGTTCGTAGAATTTCACTTTGCGTCGTCTGAAAAAGGGAATTCTGTTGCGGAATTCATGGGGCCACTTTGCAACATTTGCTTGGATTTGACCGACGGATGATTGGTGGCAATGAATCTCTGGGAAGACTCGTTCGGGAGAAGATCTGTGTTCAGTTTTTGTAATTAAGATGCAGATTAAAGTTTTGCTTCATTGTTCAGTGGTCTGTAACCGATCAGTTGGCATTTCCGAATAGACAACTCCGCAACAAAGGCCCTCTTCCTTTCATCGGTAGTTGGAAACTAGTCCGGTCGAGTATACGGGGCTGAACAGTGGTTTGATTAGCTCGCACAAGATAAGCCACGATTCACATCACGTGATCACTTGTTGACAGGCTCCTCGGCTGACGAGTATTCGGTTCGTTAGGCTTTCATGAACCACAATCAACGAAAGAATACACTAATCGTTCATTACCTCAATTAATGACCCACTTTGCTTTATATGGTAATATTTTTCACCTTTGTATTACAGCGGCTCCCGGCAGTGCAACAACGTGGGACTTACTTGAAATTTTGTGACACAAATTCTTCATTCCAAATATAACAGACGTTCGCGTTTTCCAACAAGACCTGTTTTCTTTCACAGAATATTATTACCGGCAAATATGAAAATATCCTGTAGAATTCAATGGCCAGTGTGAGGAAGAATAACATTTCGTGACGGGGCGAGGTGGATCAAGTGATTAGAGCGCGAATTTACTGACCGGAAGGCCCGTGGTTCGAACCCGACCTCTGCCACTCGAATTCCTCTGTGTAGGCTTGGGTCACCTGGCAGCATCCCAGCCCTCGTGCCTCCTTCGTGTGGCATGGCAGCTAGGCATCAAAAGGGTGCTACAGCTGGGCGATTTTTTTCGCGTTTGCGAAATTTTACGTCTATGAGTATACTAGTGGAGTAATATTCNACTGATACCCTGATGCCTGCAAACGGCTATCTGTTTTCGTTTGGCGTTCTAATGACTAGAAATAGCACAAGTGAGCGCAAATGACACGCGTGTAACGGTGATACTACTGATCGGAGGGCACGCAAATAGTATGTGTTGTTCGTAGAATTTCACTTTGCGTCGCCTGAAAAAGGGAATTCTGTTGCGGAATTCATGGGGCCACTTTGTAACACTTCCTTGGATTTGACCGACGGGGGATTGGTGGAAATGAATCTCTGGGAAGACTCGTTCGGGAGAAGATCTGTGTTCAGTTTCTGTAATTAAGATGCAGAATAAAGATTTGTTTCCTTGTTCAGTGGACTGTAAACGATCAGTTGGCATTTCCGAAAAAAACCTCCACAGCGAAGGCCTCCTCCTTTCATTTAGTACTGTGATCAGGATAAGGAATTCCTGTGTCATCGAAACGCTTTCGACCTTATGGCCCCCGTCCATTGCCGCTCTATCTACGAGAGGAGGTCCATAGACAGATTCAGGAGAATGGTTTAATGGAAAAAGCCAATAGTGCGTACAATTCCTCTGTTGTGCTTTTACTGAAGACGAACGGAAAATACAGGTTTTGCGTGGATTTCCGGCGCTTGAATGAACTGACCGTAAATCGGGTTGTGGCTGTGCCTTCGGTTGCAGGGATTTTCGATTCCCTCCAGCACTCCCGATAACTTACTGTGTTCGACTTGCCTTCCGGATATTGGCAACTACTTACCAAGGAGGATGACCGGGAGAAAACGGTGTTTACGGCTGGGGACACCCAATATCAATTGAGACGACTGCCGTTTGGTTTTTCCGGGGCACCATTCACATTACGGCGCTTGATGCTTCGTGTAACAAAGGTACTCCAGAACGTTGCCGTGTACGGAGACGATATCGGTGTGTACAGCAATTCGGAACCAGAGCACGTGGTTCACTTGAGAGCTGTGATGGAGCGGATCTGTGAGGCTGGCCTGCGGATAAATGAAGCCTAGACGCAGCTCGCTAAGAGTGCGGTGAAACTGCTGGGGCATAAAATGGGTCAGAGAGATGTTAGCTCACTTCCCGAAAAATTGACAAAAATCAGGGATTGTGCTGCTCACAATTCAAAGCGGTCTCCACGGCAACTTCTTGGACGAGCAGCATACTACAGCGGGTTCGTTAAGGATTTCAACAAGATCGCTGCGCCACAATCCAGCACGTGCCGGGGAAGGAGAACCAACCAGCTGATTGGCTATCAAGGCCAGAAGCTGAAGATGAGGTCCTCAAGATCATGATTGGAGCCAATGGCCAGGTCGTCGAACTGGGTCCCGGAAAGTTGGTGCAAATCCAACGACAGGATCCGGTGTTACAAAAGGTTGCAGCCGCCTTGTTGGATGTAAGGAACATTGAGAACGGAGAGGGCGACAAGGAATTAGAAGCGTCACTTTGATCGGCTGAGGCTGAATGAAGCTGGCATAACGTCCTGAAACGCCACTGGTTCAGATGTTGTGCTGCCGGTGATACCTTGCGTCTTGAGACGGAATCTCATCGTTGAATGCCACGAGATGGCACCAAGACATACGACGGACTTCGGCAGAGGGCCTACTGGCCCGGGATGAGAAGTGAGATGATGGATTATGTGGTGTCTTGTAAGCGTTGTTAACTAATGAAAGCGGTTTCGGCAGGGCAACTCATCCCATGGAACGCATTCCTGTCTCAGAAATCGGCGCGTTGTGGTCAGTTGACGTCATGGGCCCCTTTCCGGTGACAACCAGTGGGAACCAATACATC